TATATATATATTATTCACCTATTTATAAATGTGAAAAAATATAATTTTCAATTGCAATAATTTACATTTAATTCGGAACTAACAACTCAGTGTACGCACATCGACACCATTGTAATACCCAGCTGATTAAATACAATGATGAATTTAAAATATTATATTTTATGTTCTGTATATGTCACTAATTGTGTAAACTTTAACATATTTATTTTAAAAAAATGATTGAAACCGACAATCTGTTTTCTTTATTATATGATAAAAGAACGCCATTGAACTCATCAGTGGAGTCCACGCCTGAGATTGTAGTGAGTAACCCAGCTTACAGTGAGGGCATTGCCGTCGACTGGATCCACAATAACCTGTACTATACAGAAACTAAAGTTCTTGCTATCAATGCTGTGAACCTCGACACTTTGAAACTGGTTACGGTGGTGTCCGGGGACATACAGAACCCAAGAGCAATAGTTGTACATCCAGGAATTGGGTAAATATATCCTTTCACCCTCCCTGCGTTTATGGGAGGGAGAAATATTGTATATCATTGTTGGTAAAGTAAATATATCTGTGTTGAGTTTAAAGAATTTAAAAAATAAAATTTAATATTTTACTGGTAACAGTGGTGTCCGGGGACCTATAGAAAACCTAAGAGCAATACCTGTACATCCGGCAATTGGGTAAATCTTTCTCTTCCCCCTCATTGCGTTTATATAAGGGAGAAATATTATTTTAAAGTATATAATAAAGTAAATATAAATGTGTAGACCTAAAGAAATAGAAAATAAAATTTAAAATTTTAAGTACATCATTTTTGTTATTATATTAGAATTGAAAATTATAGCGGAACCAATATTTTCCTAGCCTAACAGACTTGCATTTAGTACTTATTGTTTGCGGAGGTCAATGAATAATAAATTCCAGGATTTTCCTAGTAGGCCCTAATTTTTAAACAGTAAGGATTTTATTTGAGTACGATTCAAAGTTTCTCTAAATTGTATTACATTGTTAATGAGATTCGGCTGCCTTTGAAGGTAGCGATCACAGTCAGTAAATTGAATTTACGTTTTCATAAAATTAATTCCTCGACAAATTGACTTCCAATCAAAAGCTCAAGAAGGACGACAGAGGGTTCGTTTCAGCAACCATCACACCATTTTCATTGTCATCTTCAGTCAAAGTTATAGTTCTCTGGGCCTTTGACTCATTTACAATATTAATTTCAGTGAACTTTCATATTTCTGTAGTTTCATAATAGGCCTATTATCTTAGATCACTACCACCCTTCATTTAATTTATTGCTTAACAGAGGGTGAAGAAATGTTTATGAATCACTATCGTTAGCCTTATCTTCCCCCTGAAGCATTATCGTCTTTGTTTCTTGTTTTGCTACACTACAGATATATTTTCTGGACAGACTGGGGCACTGGTGTTGTGGAAAAGGCGGGAATGGACGGTTCACATCGCCAAGTCTTAATTAGCCAACTTAGTTTGCCGAATGGACTGACAATCGACTTCCCAACTTCTACACTTTACTGGGTTGATGCCGGTTTTGACGCCCTCCAATCGAGTGACTTAAATGGTGGAAATCTAGCCACGGTTCTGGACTCGTCGCCTTTTATTCGTCATCCATTTGCGTTGACAACTTTTGAAGATCAACTATATTGGAATGACTGGTTTCTTAGGGCGGTGGTGACGGCTAACAAACTTCATCCTAAATCGTCTGTTTCTAAGAAAGTGTTGAAAACGTCTCCTACAGGCATGACTATTGTGCACCCCGTACGACAACAAAGTGAGTTTTTGTTTTCCGCTTAAGTCGGGCATTACTGCGACGTACCGTACACAGCGGCCAACAAAATAGCATTTGATGTGATGCGATCGCGGTATTATTTAATTTGGCCTATTGTATTAAAATCTTATTTTTAAAAATTCATTTAGTAATACTGTCGAACTATAATTTGTCGTAAAATGTTTTTATTTATAGATTTTGATAATCTGTGTGGTAGTTGTTCTAAAAACGGAGTTTGCCTTCCAAGTCCGGTGGGTGTTTGTGTCGCATCATTCATCTGCAAATGCCCGGAGGGAGAGACGTGTGAAGAAGCTCCAAAGAGAAGTAATTTGTGATTATGATTCGACTGGTGGAGTGGTTAAGATGCTTGCCTTCTAATCACAGGGTCAGGGGCGGCGACAGGAATTCCCCGATAATGCGTCCAGCTCCCCGACAAGGGGTCCAAGCTCCCCGACAGTGGCCACACCCCCTCCCTTGTGTTGATTATGGTATTCTTTATTTAAAAAGATAATTTGATAGAAAACCCTGCAAGGTAAGATGCCGCCTGTCGGGGGTACTAACCACCAGTCAGAGGTACCAGCCCCCTGTCGGGGAAGATCTGGCCCTGCCGCCGCAACCCATACGATCGCGATAGTATGCAACACCTCGCACATACGGTATACACATCT